CCTGCTCCTAGACTTCAGCCTTATCTGGGAAGTTACGTCACTGCCAAGGTGGTGGTTTATGGAGGCTGAATCAAGAGTAACATGCAGGTTGGGTGTTGTGGCGCATACCTGTAATCCTAGCACTCTAGAGGCTGAGGTAGGAGGCTCGCTGGTGAGTTTGAGACCAGTCTGAACTACACAGTGAGACAAAACAAAACCAAAAAACAAAGTAGCATGAAGAGTGCCACCACAGGAACTTTGCCATACAGTCCCTCTTTCCAAACCTCTCAAAACAGCAATGTATTTTTAATCCTGTCTCCCAAATCCCCTAGAATCAGTCCTAATGACTGAGTAGATTTGCTGACTCCAAAAGAAAAGGTCAATTATTAAAGATAGACTGGACCCTGGGCCCTGGCTCAGAACAGGAAGCTAGATACACAAACACACCTGGGAGAAGCAGGCAACCAGGAAGCACCCTCTCCCACCAGGGACCACTTTCCCAGCAGAGGACTGCTGACCCATCAGAGCTGTACAAAACCTTTGGCTCTGGGTATGGGTAACTACCACACCAATTTTTTTTTTTTTTTTTTTGGTACTGGGGATTGAACCCTGAGCCTTCATACTGTGCTACATCCCCAGGCTGCTTTTTAAAAAATTTTAAGTCAGGGTCTTACCATATTGGGCTCAAACTTGTGATCCTCCTGCCTCAGCCTCTGAGTGCTGGGGTTTCAGCTTCTCAGTCCAATCTTAATGTGCCTGCTCAAGAAAGTTGGTGGTTTCAGAATTGGTGAGGCCAATGCAGCTGGCCTCCAGCATTGTTCCATGGTTAGACTGAATACTCATCAGTGTGATGGCACAACCCAGGAAATCACAGCTGGGATCGGTGAACCCTCTGTGTGGCCAGCAGCCAGGAGATGTCTGCCAGTGCACCATTCAGCAGGACACCCTCTCCATCCTAAGCATCTCCCCTCTGTGCTGTGACCTGGGCTCACCCTGCTGCCTCCACAAGGAAGTGCAAAGCTGTGGGGATGGAAACGGGTTACTCTGAGGGGGGAGCCCACTCTTTCTGTAAGCAGCAAGGAGAAACACCTTAGGTGCTGTGGGCCACCCCAGTGACTGTCCCAGCTTCTCAACTCTGGCAGTTTGTGGGCTGAATGCAGGCAGACAATACGTGAAAGAATGGGCATGGCTGTGTTCCACGAACACTATTTACACAGCCAGAAGAAGGCCACTGTTTGCAAAATCTTTCCTTAGAGGACTTGCAGAGGCATCTTTGGAATTTAGTGGAAACAACTTCTTGAAGGCTAAGACTCATGAAGCATCATCTCTCATCCTTCACCTGCCCAGGGCCTAGGTGGGGCTCCCACAGGGCTTCCACCCACTAACACAGACCCTCATCATCTGTGTGGCATTTGCTTGTTGGATTTTGTGGGCAGCTGTGAAAGCTATAAGCAGATTTCTTCTGTAACATGCCCTAATCTCACTGTGGCCCTAGTGAAATAAAAACCAACGAACCAGTGTGAAACATTTATTTTTGTTTTGCAGTATTAAGCTTGATTAAAATAAGTGCAAAAAGATACTAAGTACATAGGGTAAAAGGACTAGCTATTTTAGTATGTGTCTTTTATAATTCAGGTAGGACAATGGGCATATAAGTCAACATCTCTAACTCAAGAATGTAACTGAAGGGTGAGACACAGATATCAGGCAAAATCTACTGGCCTCCAAAAGCATTCAAGGGATCATCAAATATGTTGGACACCTTGTATTTTGATTTTGGTTCAGGCGTAGTCTGTGCAGATTGACTTTTTGGTTTGGTTGTCTTAGTCTGGAGACCAGAGGAGAAGATATCATCTTTGAAGAGAAAAAGAGTTGCTTAATGGCAAGAAAATGGGTACTTTTTAGGACACATCCACATGAACTACCAGAGACTCAATTCTGGTAACAGTGCAAGGTACCAGAACACTAATACAGAAGTCAAGGCTCAGGTCTTGGCCCTGCCTCAGTTCCTGATTAAGTTTTAGGATAGGATGCAAATCACAGTTTCCCTCGGCCACAAAGTGTGTGTATGCATGTGCAGGAAAGGGAAGTGTGACTGGCTCTCTAATGGGACAGTGGACTCATTTCTACCTTCTTTTCACTGTGGGTTTTAAAAGGGCAAAAAGGATGTGTGAGGGGAGTCTAACTTTTGACTCGTTTTCTTGCAGAATAAAAACATCGATTTGAGGCGCCATGGAAAAAATGAAATCTTCATGATTATATCTGCGTAGTATTTCACTAACTCTTAAAACTTGTCTTGGTCATGTACCACGTACAGTGATGTTACTGCTAGGATTCTGCCTGACCAAGATTTTGGCATGTGTACATAAAGACAAGTGCAAAAAACCGTGGTTATTATTTGTATTAGAGAAAATTTAGAACAGTGTAGATCACCATTAACAGGATAAATACATAGCAGTACTTCA